CCTTACCCAAAATTTCATTATGATAATGATCCAAGCCTTTTTGCTATAAAGGATAAAGGATAAAGCATTTGCCGTTGATCAATCCCTTTTTGGGATGCGGCACGCATTCTACTTCCATTTGTACATTCGTAGTGGCGTTTGAATGCGATGTGGCCTATACAATGACTTGCGGGGGCCAGCCGATGTACAAGTCAGTGTTTTTATCCTCCCAGACAAGTCTGGTACCAATTAACCGACCCCGGAGGGATGGAAGGCTTGGTTGGCCCGGGCGACTCACGACCCAGGATTTGAACCGCTCGCGTGGTGAGCGTGCCACTTGCCACTACACCACTTCCGCCCAGTGACAGAATGACTTGCGGGGGCCGCAAGAATGAACAGAATATGTCGTTTAGGCGAGTCTCGAGCCAGGGTGAACTTCGCGCCCGGCCAATTCTAGAATTTCTGCGACTTTTCCCCTCCCAACGGAATCTCGCAGATGCAACAAGATCTAGAAATTTGAATTTCTTGGTGATATTTCAGTGGGGGGGGGGGGTGGAAGAGGGGATCGGCAAACCGTTTTTGAGTAGAATTTCTTCGTGGAAGGTATTGTAGTATTGCTGTTCATCCACCACTGAATTTACGTTTAAAAGTTAAGCTTCAGAAAAAAAGAGGACCTTCAGATTGTGGGTGAGCATAGTGTTCGGGGTAAGATCGGCGTGCTACTTACGTTTATTCCTGCAAATCATTGTCAGAAGAATAATTGCCGTCGAAAGCTCATTTTCAAAAATACCACCAGCCAAACCAAACCAAACCTCAGCCAAAAAAGTCACAGGGGCGATTTCCTGAGGAAAAAATTGTGAATCGTGTGAAGGCTTCTTAGAAAGAGTCGGCCGTAGTTTTCGTGAACGGTAGGAGGGTGTCACAGTAACAAATTTCGAAAAAGAAATCGGTCTGCAAAACCCCTAAAAAATGCGCGATATTTTCAAAGAATGGATTACGAGAGTCAGGTGAGTTTTTGTTAGAAGGCTTAAACCCAGTAGTTTTCCAAAGTAGAAGTTTGTCACGATAACAGTCACGAAGGAGTTTCCAATCACTCAAAATTCAGAACTCTAATTGAAAAACCAGACGGGCTATTTGTCATGAGTGAGTGACAAGTGAGTACCAGGAGAGTGTCTATTTGCACGAAGATGCTCCAGCTAGTTATGCTTCTTCTTGGTGTTTCTCTGCACCAGGGTGTTTTTGCTCGAATAATATTACTTGGGGGGTGCCCAATCTGAAGATCCGAGTGCTATGTTGGCCATCTTATGGCCGAATTTTCTTTTAATTCCCGGAAAAAACTGGTTCATAAGAGCGCTTTGTAGTGATGCTAGCTGCGGAATGACCTGAAAGTGGAAAGGAAAGCAAGAGAAATCTTGGAGAACGCTGAAATTAAGGCCTTAACCTTCGGATGTGGTACGATGTCGAGACAGGGCGATCAAAGAAGGACAAAACACGCAAGAGAGCACGCTGTTCGAGAGCACGCTGATCTCTACATCAATCGCCTTGGGTGGAGAGCGTTGCAATGGGGTTCCATGGAGTTTGGGCTTTGGTTGAGCTGGTGAGCCCTGGCTGAGAAGTAGCCATCAGGCGTGCTTCGTGTTGTTGTCGTAGTGAACTCATGACTCATCCCCACTAGTGATCAACTAGGGAACGCTCTGCTAATGAGGTCACAGAATGAAATTCCCCCAGAGGGTCATATCTGCTTCTCGGTCGTGGCTGGTCGGCGCATATGGTTTTCATCAAGTCTTCATTCTGCTGCCGCCCACTTCATCCTGATGGCGTGTGCTGGTGCATCGGCTGCGCCCAGGTGTCTGCTAATACCCTGGTAGTAGCGTCCGTGTGCACTTCCAAGCCGTGGCGCAAGGAGGTCGTCATCGAAAGTGAGTGGAGGCACAGGATGAGGT